TAAACAGAATTAAAAACAAAAACCATATGATCATCTCAATAGATGCAAAAAGAAAATTCCATAAAATCCATCACCCCTTCATGATAAAAACCCTCAACAAACCAGGCATAGAAAGAACAGACCTCAAAATAATAAAAGCCACCTATGACAAACCCACAGCCAAATGGAGAAAAGTTGAAAGCATTCCCCCCTAACAACTGGAACAAGACAAGGATGCCCACTGTCATCACTTCTATTCAACATAACACTGGAAGTCCTAGCCAAGGCAATCAGGCAAGAGAAAGAAATAAAGGACATCCAAATGCAAAAAGAGGAAGTCAAACTATCCCTGTTTGCCAATAATGATCTTACATTTATTAACAGAAAATCCTAACACTACTCCAAAAGACTCCTAGAATTGATAAAGAAATTCAATAAAGGCCGGGCGCGGTGGCTCACGCCTGTAATCCTAGCACTCTGGGAGGCCGAGGCGGGCGGATTGTTTGAGCTCAGGAGTTCGAAACCAGCCTGAGCAAGAGCGAGACCCCATCTCTACTAAAATTAGAAAGAAATTAATCGGACAACTAAAACTATATAGAAAAAATTAGCCGGGCATGGTGGCACATGCCTGTAGTCCCAGCTACTCGGGAGGCTGAGGCAGGGGAATCGCTTGAGCCCAGGAGTTTGAGGTTGCTGTGAGCTAGGATGACGCCACGGCACCCTAGCCCAGGCAACACAGTGAGACTCTGTCTCAAAAAAAAAAAAAAAAAAAGAAATTCAATAAAATCTTAGGTTATAAAATGAATGTACACAAATCAGTAGCATTTCTATACACTAATAAAAGTCAAGCTGAGAGTCAAATAAAGAACACAATACCATTTACAATAGCTGCAAAGAAAATATTATAAAACACCGAGGAATATACTTAACCAAGGAAGTGAAAAATCTCTACAAGGAGAATTGTTAATACAAAACACTGATGAAAGAAAGCATAGATGACACAAACAAATGGAAAAACATCCCATGCTCTAGATTGGAAGAATTAATATTTTTATAATGTCCATACTGCCCAAAGTAATCTACAGATTCAATCAATTCCTATCAAGATACCAAAGTCATTTTTCACAGAATTAAAAAAAAAAATCCTAAATTTCATATAGAATCAAAAAAGAGCCCAAATAGGTAAAACAATCCTAAGTAAAAAGAACAAATCTGGAGGCATCACATTACCTGACTTCAAATTATACTATAAGGCCATAGTAACCAAAATAGCATGGTACTGGTATAAAAGCAGACACACAGATCAATGCAACAGAATAGAGAACCCAGAAATAAAACCATATAGCTACAAGCAATTGATTTTTGAAAAAGAAGACAAAAATATACACTGGGGAAAGGTTACCATATTTAATATGGTAACTCAAAATGGTGCTGGCAAAACTGGATAGCCACATGCAAAAGAATGGATAACTATCTGTCACCATATACAAAAATTAACTCAAGATGGATTGAAGACCTAAATGTAAGACCTGAAACCATAAAAATTCTGAAAGAAACCATAGGAAAAATTCTTTTAGACGTCGGCCTAAGCAAAGAATTTATGACTGAGACCCGAAAAGCAAATACAGCAACAACAATAAATAAATAGGGCTTAAACTAAAAAGTTTCTGCACAGCAAAGGAACTAATCATCACAGTAAATAGACAACCTACAGAATGGGAGAAAATATTCATAAACTATGACAAAAGACTAATATCTAGAATCTATAAAAAAATCAGCAGGAAAAAGATAACCCCATCAAAAAGTGGGCTAAAGATATGAACAGATTTTTTTCAAAAAAAAAAATACTAATGACCAACAAACATATGAAAAAGTACTCAACATCACTAATCAGCAGGGAAATGCAAATTAAAACCACAGTGAGATAACACCTTACCCCTGTCAAAATGGCCATCACTAAAAAGTCAAAAAAACAATAGATGTTGGCATGGATGCAGTGGAAAGAGAATACTTATACACTGTTGGTGGGAATATAAATTAGTACAACCTCTATGGGAAGCATTATAGAGATTCCTCAAAGAACTAAAAGTAGACCTACCATCTGACCCAGAAATCCCACTACTGGGTATCTATCCCCAAAAAAAGAAGTCATTTTATCAAAAAAACACTTGTACCCAAATGTTTATTGCAGCACGATTCACAATTGCAAAGTTATGGAATCAACCTAACTGTCCATCAATTAATAAGTAATGAGTAGATAAAGAAAATGTGAGATACACACACACACACACACACACACACACACACACACACACACATAGCATGGAATACAACTCAGCCATAAAAAATAATGAAATAATGTCTTTTGTAGCAACTTGGATGAAACTAGAGACCATCATCCTACATGAAGTATTTCAGGAATGGAAAAACAAATATCTCATGTTCTTACTTATAAGGGGAGCTAAACGATGGGTATATATGGCCATAATTTATTATAACAGACATTAGAAACTGAGAAAAGTAGAGGGTGGAAGGAGGGTAAGGAATCAGCAAGTACTTATTGGGAACAATGTACATAATTCTGGTGACAGCTACACTAAAAGCCCTGACTTCACCATTATACAATTCACTCATGTAACAAAAAGTAACTGTACCCCTAAATCTATTGGGAAAAAGAAAAGAAAAAGGAAAATGTTCATATCTGTTGCAGCATTCTCTGTAACAAGGCCAGGTGCAGTGGCTCATGCCCGTAATCCCAGCACTATGAGAGGCCGAGGAGGTAGAAAAATTGCTTCAGGCCAGGCGTTTAAGAACAGCCTGGCAACATAGTGAGACCCTGTCTCTATAAAATATAAAATAATTAGTTGGGTGTGTTGGTGTGTGCCTGTAGTCAGGAGGATCACTTGAGCCCCAGTGTTTGGGGCTGCAGAGAACTATGATCATGCCACCACACTCCAGCCTGGGTAACAGAGTAAGACCCTGTCTCTTAAAAAAAAAACAAAACTTAAATGTCCAACTGTAGGAAAATGGTTCTAATTTATGTAATAGTTTCTGATCACAGGTATTTTTCTAATTCAGCTAAATTGTAACTATCATGAGAGTTAAAACAAAATGTCCAGTGTCTACAGCAATGTCTAACATACGGTTGCCACTGACTGAATGTTGAGAGAATAATTAAATTTAATTCTATAACGTATTTACCCAACAAAAAATAGCTCTTTAATTTCTGTTATAGAACATCCTGAACTCTCAAGAAGAGTACGTATAAATAGTCTTCTGAAAAACATGAAATGTTTAAGACTTTTACCCTTTTCCCTTTTTATGTTATCATTACAATTTTTTAATTTTTAAACTGCTTATGTTCTCTCCTTCATAACATAACTGTCTTAATTTTTGTAGCATTCCTCTCAGCCTTGGTCCACGTGTGCATATTTACTTTGATTTACTAAGTCATTTTCCTATAATTAAACATTTAGAGTTTTTATTTTAATTACAAGAAATGTTCCTTCTCCTATCTGACTATATGTGAAAAATAAAAAAAAAAAGAAATGTTCCAGCAAACATGAGACAATAAATTAAGATCTCCCCTGGTTAATCAATTATTGTCATACAGTTAGGCTAGCCAATTTTTTGGTCATTACAGAGAAATCAACAGGAATAATTGGTTGAACCACTGAACCATAACTGGTTGAAAAACTGACAAAATTCCTTAAAGAAAAAAAATTGTAAAATCACCCCAGGCATCCCAAATAATATTTGAAAACCAGTGGCCAAGAAATATTAATTTTAAACCAAATCATTCTTGAGCTTTTAATCAGAGCAATTTTGACTATATCACAAGCTACCATTATTTGAAGTTCCCAGAATTTGCCAGATTTGTACATGATATTTGCTATATCAGGATTAGGCCTTACCCTGCATAGTCGCCAAGTAAACATCTACTTCATGTCTTAAATCATATGCTGTCTTCTTTGTGAAGCCTTCCCTGATTCCTCCGGACGTTTATAAGTAACCATTCCCATATGCACCTTTCTACATATTTCCATTGTACATTTTACCATAATGTAAAGTAAATACCTATTTACATGTCTGTCTCTTCCATTAGACTAAAAGTTCCTTGAAAGTAAAAACCATGTCTTACTATTTTTATATTCTTTGCCCCATCCTAACATAGAGAAATATTAATAAAACTGCTAGAAAAATACCTGAGTTACAATCAGAGATAGTCAATTCAACATTTATAAATGCCTACTTAAAACTAAGCCATTTATGGAAGGTATAAAAGTATATAAATAAAAGCATGGCTCTTCACCATAAGAAGTTTGAAGGTTAATGGAAAGGTTTAGGCAAGAATATAAGTAATTATAAAACCCATAAATCTTAAAACAAATGTACAAATGAAGTGCTGTAAGTACACAGTAAAGAGAGAAGTTAATTCTGCCTGAAAAGGAGGGGTCAGGGAAGGTTTCCTAGAAAAGGTAGCATTTCAGATAAACCTTAAAAGACAACTTTAAGAGGCAGAAATGGTGAGAAAATATAGAGAACTGATCCAGTCTGATTTTCATATATAGGATATGAGGAGGAATACTAAAAAAAGGTAAAAAATAGATTAGGATCAGTTCCTGGACATCCTTAAATGACAAATTTTGGAATTTGGTGAAGTCAGTTTACAACAATTTAAACCAGCAAAATGAGATTTCTTCTTTGTACTCCAAACTACAACCTGAAAAAAATTTACTATCAAGTAACTTTTAGAGCCCAAAGCATATCAATACCACATGTGATTTTTTTTTCATCCATAATTTTCATCAGAGTAGTCAGATCAAGTAGGATTTTGGGAGTGGGGAATTAAAGACACATTTCAAAGTAGGTATAATAACTTTAAAAATATCCAAAGTGTTCCATATAAAATTATTCTCAATTATATTTTCATTTATACTACATAAAACAGGAAAAAAATCAGAAAATGCCTTGTCCAAGATACAAAACTAAAAGAAAAAAAATTTTTTAAATATACTTACTGTAACACAACCTTTAGAAGCTCCTTTTATTTTACCAATATAGACAGAAGTAAATATAAAATCCAGTTGGAGATTCATCTCATTACTAGGCATAGTACAGGAAATGTTTTCCATGACAGGATTATATGGACATGATTCAGATGATGCCTAACAAAGAATAAATTATAAAATGCATATAACCCAAAGTATTATATAAATGCTGAAAATGATTTTTCATAAATTCTTCATTAAATTATACTAATTAATTTTTGAAGGATTTTATACTGTTCTTACTGGAAAGAAATAACTATCCAGATTTTTTTCCTGAAGAGGGATATGATTTCCCTTGAGAAAATTACGCTAAATAGTTGAATCCAAAATTAATCCAAAATGGTTTCACGTTCAATATTCTCTAATAGGCTTTACTCATATTTTTAATTCGACAGAAATAAATTTAGATTTATATAGTGCTTTAGTTTAAAATGAGTTTTTAAATATATTATCTCTTTTAATCTCCACAACTCCTCTATGGGTAGGTTTTTCCCCCCATATTTCATAAATAAAGTTAACAGATGTTTGGATTGGTTAAGTGATTTGCCCAAGGTCATACAATTTGTAAGAAGCAAAACTAAGATTCAAATCCAGGTTTCTGTCGCCAGGTCAAGTGTTATTTCAATCATATAAGATTGCTTCCGTTGACCAAAATAATGTTCTTGCTATTGCACTTTTAAAGAGCAATGAAGAGATATAAGCACCTAAGAACCATCTATTATATCAAATCTATATGCTTTACTATACTCTATGTTTGAAGATAGCCAACCAGAAATGGTTTATACTTGCCTAGAACCTCAAAAATCATCCCACTTCCTCCACTCAAACAACTACATAACTTTGCATTTAAATTATGACAGACAACCGGCAATATCAGCAGGAATTGTTTCCCACAATCTCTTCTGAATTTTACACTGTTTTCAGGTGACTTTTTCAACTCCACATTTGCCTAGAGACTCTGCATATTATCCTTCTTTAACCCTAATATCACGAATGACCAAATTATCACTACAGCAATTATTATGCATGTGAACTCACTCCCCTCCTACTTCTAGCAAATGTGATTACTCCTCATCTAAAACATACATCATACTCATTTTTAACCCAGCTCACAATGCCATTTACCTGCTTAATTGAATTTCCTTGTCATTCTCATCTTTTATTGTTTAGTATACTATCTTCTTATCCCCTAAGTAAAAAAGGGAATCAAATCAACTACAAGTGGCTCCAATCAATCAGACAAATAACTGTGATATTTTTTAATGATAAAAGGAGAGGTTGGTTTAGAAATAATTTTTTACTGGGCCTCACATTTTATAAAGATTAACTGTCTCCTAAAAATGACCAATCCATGTTTCTCATAACTCATTTAAAATAGGAAACAAGGGCATGGAGATGTGGGGTTCTGCCTCATATGTCTTGGTAGATCTACACAATATTTGCTGCTTGGTTGTGATCATGAATTCTGTAAGTTCCATGAGAGATGTTATTTTCTTATCATATGATCATTTCATACTGTTTTGTCAGTTTATGTGCTGCCAGCGCAACCAAAATTTTTCTACAAGTTTAAATTCATCATCAACAAGGATACCTTTAATTATAAATACAACTAAGCCAGTTGACCCAATCTAGCAAGAATGGTTTCACTTTAGCAGAAATTCAAAACAGATGTGCTGAGGTGATTTCTGTATTGAGTGCTAAACGCAAAAGAAATACTCATGAAATAATAATCAGATAAAACTTTTTGCATAGATCTGACCAAACTGTTCATTATACTCTGCAAAATTACAGCTTCTGACATTATTCAAAAAAAAAAAGATCTATAGAATTTTACCATAATTCTGCACTGATGGTCACTGATAAACATTTCTTACAAATAGAATAATCAGAGGCTAATAACAAGAAAGAGTACAGACAATAAATGATTTGAATTTTATCTTGAACCTACACTCTTCAAAGGACTCAATTAACTGGCTGACATTGACACTTCCGTTTATTATTTTCTATAAAAAGGAAGAGACAAAGGACTTACCAAACTTGATAGGTTTCTGACACTGTTATAAATGCTTTCATATGTTATTTCATTTAATACTCAAAATAATCTTGTGAGGTACATGCTATAATCCTCATTTAACATATGGGGAAATTCAGGCTTAAGGAAGTTAAATGCTTTGCCCAAATGGCAGGGCCAGGATTTGAACATAGGTCTATATATCTTCAGAAGCCATGTTCTTTCCTCTGTATCACACTGCCTTCTGATACATGAGGAAAAGGAGTAATTCCAAGTAGCCACAGTACTCCAAGATCAGACAGACAAATATTGGAAACTGTTTAATTCTAGAAAATGTTTTGATAAAATAGTTAAATGTCCAATGAGAATCACTGAAAAAAAAGAAAACTATTCAAGTCATAGAATAGACTGAAAAAACATAAGTGACCAGAAAAAAATAGTATAATCCTTTCATTTCAAAATAAAAATAATTACATACATCAAACTAGCATAAAAGTTGTCTCAAAATTCAAATTAAGAAAATTTGTAATCTTTATTATAATATTCCTATTGATAAAACAGTCATTAGCCAATAGTATATATTTCACTGTTAATCTTTGAGAAGGCACAAATAAATTACCTGTACAGATTCACATGTAACCAGTGGCAGTTCTGACAATGCTGATTCAGAGGTACTCTCATTTTCATTAGTGATTTCGTGATCTTGCTTAGGCTGTAATTTAAGAATTTCTGAATTTTTATGTTCAATGGGTCCTTCTTCATCACTGGAAACAACAACTAAAAGGGAAAAATATATTTTAAATATGTTACAATAATCACATATCAAAAAGAACTTTCTAATTACTGCAATATATCTTTAATAATCCCATTAAGTTTAATCATCTAAATTTGTTCAATTTAGAAACTTATCTAGTGCTCATTATCTAATTTATACTAGTTATATACAATGTTCCCATATCAGTGTTATTATTTAACATTTATCTGCAACCTTACTTTCTGGAGAATAAAGACCTTTAAAAATGGATAAAGCCACGAGGAGGCCTTAGGTACAAGTTCTAGTTCTAACAATGGATTGTGCCAGCACTCTAAATTGTACTTTAAATCCTGTTACATTAGCTGCTTCTGGAGGGGAAAATGGATAGCTAGGGGAAGATGTGGGAGACTATTCCCTATGTATATATCCTTTGAAACCTTTTGAACTTTTTGTACATGTGACTACATCAACTATTCAGAAAGTGATTAAATCAAAATGAATATATAGTTAGGTGGCACTCAAATTCTCCATACTTCAGCTTCATCAACCAATTGACAATAATAATGGTCCTCAGAAGCTATTTTAAAACTACTGAGTTGGATTATCAGTGTACTAATCAAAGAAAAAATTAATTTCTTCTTCCAAGTATTCCATTAGTTTACCTAAATAAATATTATAAGATTCATGAAGGAAATCCCAAAACCCCAAGTCTTTTTTCCTACAGTTAATGTCTTCCACAGTGATGTCATAAACAGCGTATTTCCTAAGCAAAATTTGTTCAACAGGAGAAAAAAAACAACTAAGTAAAGCAGAGAAAATTAAGTGCCTTTATAATCCTCCTGTTACTTACTTGGTTCGGCAGAGATCAGCGATTGGTTCCCTTCACTGTGTCCACTTAGGATAGGCTTTTCTATTGTATTCAACTCATTCTCATCCTTCTCAACCAGAGAAGAAATCCCCACAGTATCACTGAAAATAGAGCTCTCAAGAGTTTCAGTGGTTGAACAGACAGAGGCACTTTTAGGGGGAGCACTCAAAGCCAACTCCTGACTATTAAGTGAGGGTAGTTCAGTAAAATCACTTTCTATACGTTTAGGTGTAATTTCTTCAAGCAGTTTTGGGTCCTGATGATAGTTTTCACTTGACTTTTCAAACTCAGTGGATACTGTTAAGTCTTTTTCTTGTCCTTTCTGAACAAAAGCACATAGAAAAAAAGCATTTTTTAAAATTTGGCTTACTTATACCATATTTTTGAGATTTAAACTAAAAAAAATAAAGGTAGAAATATATCATTTCCATAACCACCTGGATAGAAAACTACACAATTATACTGCATTATGCTTGCCAGTGTCTCCCAAGCATAAAGATGTAGGAATTGATCTGTCCAATCCGATACCTAAATAATTTTTTAAAGGGTGAGATTCCCATCTTTACAAGTGGTTGATATGGCCTTCCATGATCTACATAGACTTCAGAATGAGGTGTTTTTTTGGGGGTTTTTTTTTTTTTTGAGACAGAGTCTCACTCTTTTGCCTGGGCTAGAGTGAGTGCCATGGCGTCAGCCTAGCTCACAGCAACCTCACACTCCTGGGCTCAAGCGATCCTTCTGCCTCAGCCTCCCGAGTAGCTGGGACTACGGGCATGCGCCACTATGCCCGGCTAATTTTTTCTATATATTTTTAGTTGTCCAATTAATTTCTTTCTATCTTTAGTAGAGAAGGGGTCTCGCTCTTGCTCAGGCTGGTTTCGAACTCCTGAGCTCAAACAATCTGCCCGCCTCGGCCTCCCAGAGAGCTAGGATTACAGAGGTTTTTTTTTTTTTTTAACATTTTTATTTTGCAAAAGTAATAAGGCCATGTGAACAATTACGTTAGTAACAAAAGCAAAAAACTGAAAACTTAACAGGGTAACATTAAAAATTATGAAAATCAACTATTATCTTCAGCATCTCCATTACTGTATAACTAAATCATGTTTATAATTATAACCCAAAGGCACTACAAGGTCCTGAAATGGCTTGTGAATTATAAGAATTGAAAAGCTATCTTACAGTTTTATTGCTAACTATATGCTACGTCTTTGAAAAATAGGTAATGTATAATTCTTCACTTATAACAAATTGCCTAAACTCTAGATAAGTAGAAACGTAAAGAATTACTTTTGAAACAGTAATTCTTTTCAACAGTAATTTACTGTTGAAAAAATAAATCTGACAATAATTTTACAGAGTAAGTGAAAAAAACAAGTGGACAGTATGAATAGTATTCAGCTAAAATGAGGAAAAAGAAAATAAAACAAGCCTGAAAGATGTACACCAAACTGCTAAGGAAAGAGTGGTATTGGAGAACAAGCAATTTTAACTTTTTACTCAAGTTAAACATTTGAAATTTGTTCCAATAACTGTATTACTGAGAAAAGTTACACTTAAAACATTTTTTAAAAATAAAGCTAACAGGGCCGGGCGCAGTGGCTCACGCCTATAATCCTAGCTAGCTCTCTGGGAGGCCGAGGCGGGCGGATTGTTTGAGCTCAGGAGTTCGAAACCAGCCTGAGCAAGAGCAAGACCCTGTCTCTACAAAAAAAATTTTTTAAATATACTTACTGTAACACA